GGGGAAGCTGCTGGGGGGAGCTGAAACCCCACTGGGTTTCACCCACAAAAGATATTGGGGTGCATTACAAAATAATGAAAAAAGGTCATTGTAGCACAGAAACATCCTCTGCAAAAGAAGAAAACAAATCCCCAAAAACCCCCAAAACCATAGGATGTTGAGGGAGTTTGTGACCCCCCATCCTCCTCCCCGTGAGGAGCTGTGTTTACCAGGACCTGGGGGATGCTGTGGTCTGGGATGCAGCACCCCAAAACTGGGACAAGCACTGCTTGGAAGAGTTGTTTCTGGGGGAGGAGGAAAAATTAGCACAAAAGGGAGCGGGGGAGCCTGATAGCTCCAATGCAGCAACACTGGCAGGAAAATTAAGGGGGGAAATGATGTGTGAGGGAAACCCTGGCAGATGAGCGATGTGGGGGCCGATTGCCACCCATTCGTGTCTATGGTCCCAGATGACCTTCACGGACATTCATCGTATTTTAACATAAAACCACAGGTTGAGGTTGGAAGAGACCTCCAAGATCATCCAGTCCAACATCAACCCAACCCCACCATGCCCACTAAACCATGTCCCCAAGTGCCACATCCACAGCTTCTTGAACCCCTCCAGGGATGGGGACTCCACCACTGCCCTGGGCAGCCCCTGCCAGTGCTCGACCACTCTTGCAGTAAAGAAAATTTTCCCAATATTCAATTTCACCCTCCCCTGGCACAACTTGAGGCCAACATCCCTTCTCAGGGGTTTAGTTTTAGTCTTGGTCTCTTCATTTTGTCCCTCTGGTGTGGTGGTTTCAAGGGGAGGGGAGGCAGAGGGGTCTGTGCGTGTTGAGAGCCCGGCAGATCAAGCGTGTGGAGGTGGCTTTTGGGAGATGTCCCCTCTTGAGGCCAACATCCCTTCTCAGGGGTTTAGTTTTAGTCTTGGTCTCTTCATTTTGTCCCTCTGGTGTGGTGGTTTCAAGGGGAGGGGAGGCAGAGGGGTCTGTGCGTGTTGAGAGCCCGGCAGATCAAGCGTGTGGAGGTGGCTTTTGGGAGATGTCCCCTGGCGTGGGGTGGGTTGGCATCTGCTCTCCCCGTTGCCTGGGCCAAATGGAGCCGATCTCATTAGTGCAGAAATAATTTTGCTGGGGGAAATGAGAGAATAAAAAGCAACGAGAAGGAGCATGGACATAACAGCTTCCCCTCTGTCCGTGAAATGTGGCTGTGCTTGTTTGGAGAAAATAGATTGTTACCGTGTTATTTCACCCTGAATGTTCGCCCACAGTGGCCTGGGAGCACTGGGCAGCCATGCGGATTGGTGATGGGGTGAAAATTTTGTTTTTCGGTGACTTCTTTCCCCTGTTCCAGCTCCAGTCACTGGAGGATGCACTGTGGGGTGTACCCAGCACCGTGGTGTGGTACCTGGTACCGTGGCTGTTTCAGGGTCCCCCCAGGCGTTTTGAGGTCACCCCAAGCTGAGCTCCCAAACTCTGGAGGGTGCCCCCCATGATCCCCCCACTGTCTTTGGCCTTTTCTTGGTGTGCACTCGCTGGGAATTGATGGGAGGAAAACTTGTGAATCCGTTTAAATTAACTGGTGGTGAAAGCTATTAATAATTAAGCGCCTACTGTCAGGAAAACAATGGTAGACTTGAATAAATGGCCCAGCTTTGTTACTTACAGCTTCTGCTGTCATTAAAGTGGAAGAGATATTAATAATCTCCTCCTTTGGTGGTGGGGAGGGTTTGAGGGGGTCCCACAGGACCCCTGCATCCTCCTCCTGCCTCTGGACCACCTGGGATGGAGGATACAGGGCAAGGAAGATGGTTCCTTTGGGGTCCCGTGGGATTTTCCCAAATCCCTGTGGGATTTCTGTCCTGAAGGCCACATAAGTTTGGCTTTGGGGTTGCCCTGGGACTCCTGGTTTCATTGCTGGGGATTTTGGGCCATGGGAGATGGGGTACCATTGGCTGCTGGTGGGGGGGCAGATGGGGAGCTGGGTCTGGATGAGCATCATGAAGAGCCACTCATGAAGCTGACAAGGGCGGTTTTTCCCCCCTTTGAGCGCCTGATGAGCACAGTTTAAACTCAGCAACAACCGTGTGGTAAATGGTGCGAGGTGAGGGAACGGAAATGAAGTGACTGGGGAGGGCAACGTTGGCGCAGCCAAAGCTGTGAGTGTTGAAAGGCAGAGGGTGGCACCGAAACCACCAACCCTGGGGTCACTGGTTTGTCCTGGAGGCTGTGGGTATGACCCTTCCCTCCTCATCCAGGTCCCATTTTGGTGTCCTGCTGCTGCCCAAACAAGTGTCTGACTCCATCTGGGTCCGTTGCTTCTGTCCCATGGAGTGGTACCCAGTGAGACCCCAGCATCATTGCGGGATCGTGCGCATCTTTGCCATCCCGCATCCTCCCCTTGCTCCATCCCTGTGCATGAAGATCAGGCGATTTGGAACAGGGGGCTCACCCCACACTCTCCTCATTTCTCCCCTCCTGCCGCAGGCTCCTACCTGATGGTGAACTCCTCGCAGCACGCCCCGGGGCAGCGAGCCCACCTCCTCTTCCAGGCACTGAGCGAGAATGACACCCACTGCCTCCAGTTCAGCTACTTCATGTACAGCCGGGACGGCCATAGCCCCGGCACCCTCAGTGCCTACGTGCGGGTGACGGGGGGCCCGGTGGGCAGCGCTGTCTGGAACGCCTCGGGCTCCCACGGCCGCCAGTGGCACCAGGCAGAGTTGGCTGTCAGCTTGTTCTGGCCCAGCGAGTACCAGGTAAGGCCCAGCGGACCCTCCTGGCCATGACATGGACCCCACTTGCGTGACCCAGACTCCCTGGTGATGGGTGGCCTCTCCATTTGGTGCTGCAGGTCCTGTTTGAGGCGGTGGTGTCCAGCGAGCGCAGGGGTTATCTTGGCTTGGATGACATTTTGCTCTTGAATTATCCATGCTGTGAGTGTTGGGATGGACCTGAGGGTGCGTGGGGGGGTAGGGAGGTTTGGAGCTGGTGCCCATTGGGATGGTCCTGGGGGAGTTGATGGGTGATGCTGAGGTGCAGCTTAGTGTCACCTGGGCTGGTGGAGCTCCATCTCCTGGGTACCTCTGGGGGTCCTTTTCCCATCCCCATTCCCATCAGCTCCAGTGTTGCTTCAGTTTTTATAAAACCTTGGAAAAGCACAGACTGAACACGTGCCCTGAGTGTCCCCACCAAGAGGGGCCACCCGGCCTGGTGAGGACCTGAAATCTGAGGCTGTCCCACATCAGAGTTCAACCCCTATTTCTTTCAGGCTGGGGTAGATCTGCCCAACTCCCTCAACCCCATCGCCTGTACCTGGGGTGCTGTGGGGGAAAGGCTGCAGCCCTCCCTGGGACACCCAAATTCCCGACTCCCAACTGGGCTGTGAGGGGAGGATCAAACCTGTGGGGAGCTTGGTTCCAGCCCTGGGTGGGTTTTTGGGCCATGGTAGGATTTTTGCAGCAATCCAGTGCGGGTCCACTTTGTCACCTCTGGCTCGTGTCCCTCGGCAGCGAAAGCGCCCCATTTCTCACGCCTGGGCGACGTGGAGGTGAATGCGGGGCAGAACGCCACCTTCCAGTGCGTGGCTGCCGGCAAGGCCGCCGAGGCCGAGCGGTTCCTCATGCAGGTGAGCAGCGAAACCATCATCATCATCATCAAATGGTTTGGGTTGGAGAGGACCTTAAAGGCATCTCCATCATCAACCCCTCGTGTTGCTTCTGTGCTTCCCCTTTGGGAGAAGACACCACTGGGCAGGGGGAAGAAGGGCGATTCCCTCCCCTTTTAAGCAGACATCATCTGGGGACATTTGGTGGCTCTGGGTGCCTCCTGTGACCCCTTGTCTCTCCCCATGGGGCAGAGGCAGAGCGGCGAGGTGGTCCCTGCCACCTCGGTCAAGCACATCAGCCACCGCCGCTTCCTGGCCACCTTCCAGCTGGACGAGGTGTCCAAGGAGGAGCAGGACCTCTACCGCTGTGTCACCCAGTCCAGCCGCGGCTCCGGCGTCTCCAACTTCGCCGAGCTCATCGTGAAAGGTGGGTGGTTTGGTGGTGCCCGATGGGTTTTTGGATCACGGACGGGCTGTTTCTGCCGTGCTGTTTGCAGAGGAAGAGGGGATGCTCTCGGTGGTGGGGTGCTCACAGTGGTGGGATCACAGTTTCTCCCTGGGAATGAGTTGCTACGCACTGATGGTTCAACATAAAACCAGGAAACTGTCTTTCCTGGTGGCCTTAGATCATTTATTTTTGATTGCAGTAGGTGGGAATTAATTAATTATGGTGAAACTGTGCAGCACCATGCTGGGCAGTGTATCTTATAAAGATAATTAAGGTTTGATCAGATGAAACCCTATCGCAGCTGTTAAATCCTCACTGAAAGTGATGGAGGGCTGAAGTTTAAAGGCTGGAGGGTGCCCTCTCCTTCTTCGATGTTGATCCCCATGTCCTCTGGGTGGGGAATCCAAATTTGTCCTGTGCCCTGCAGCGCAAAGGTGATGGATTTGGGAAGAGAGAGTGTGGCTTTCTCAATTGTATCTAATAAAAAATAAAATAAAATCGTTCCTGTGGTTGTGCTGGTGTCAGCCTGGCTCCAGGGCCGGGGATGCTGTGAAGGGGGATGCTCCACCACCCCCTTCTCCGCTCTTTTCCAGAGCCCCCCACGCCCATCGCGCCCCCGCAGCTGCTCCGCGCCGGCTCCACCTACCTCATCATCCAGCTCAACACCAACTCCATCATCGGCGACGGCCCCATCGTGCGCAAGGAGATCGAGTACCGCATGACCTCGGGGCCCTGGTCGGAGGTGCACGCTGTCAACATGCAGACGTACAAGCTCTGGCACTTGGATCCCGACACCGAGTACGAGATCAGCGTCCTGCTCACCCGGCCCGGCGAGGGGGGCACGGGCAAACCGGGACCACCCCTCATCAGCCGCACCAAGTGTGCAGGTGGGCCCACACTGCATCCCAGCCGCCCTGTGTCACCTTGGGCAAGGTCCCCTGACACCCCAAGATGGGTGCTGAGAGTGTTTGCTGGTGTGGCCCAGGAGCAACTCCTCTGTAGTGAGGTTGCCCCTCGAATCCTGGGGTCAGTTTTGGCCCCTCACTCTCAGAAGGACATTGAGGGGCTGGAGCGTGGCCAGAGAAGGGCAACGGAGCTGGGGAGGGGTCTGGAGCACCCGCATGATGGGAAGCGGCTGAGGGAGCTGGGGGGTTCAACTGGAGAAGAGGAGGTGAGGGGAGACCTTATCCCCTCTGCAGCTCCTGAAAGGAGGGGGTAGCGAGGGGGGGCAGTCTCTGCTCCCCAGTAACAAGAGATGGATGAGAGGAAACAGCCTCAAGTTGTGCCAGGGGA